GTATTTATTAATTTTTTTAAAATAAAAATAAAAGTAACTAAAAATATTTTATATTAATATTTTATATTACACAACGGATGGATACTTTTTTTGACGTCCCATCAACCTAAGCGGGTCCAGTATGACATAAACGGTCCTGCATGCCTCACCCCTTGTCTCACTTCTCTCTGTTGATTTTTCCTAGGTGTTTGGGGTCTGTTCTAACTCGCTTGATTATGAGGTGTTTGATGTGATGGTATTGGTACATCAGGATCATACATTTCATCGATCATTTCGCTCAACTGTGTTGTGCTTTCAAAGAGATCGGTGTCCATGTTGTTGAAGTTTGGTCCTGTTGGTTGAAATATGTGTGAGTGAGGTGGTTGTATTGGGATGTTGAATCATGTAGGTGGGTCCAGTATGACATAAACGGTCCCGCATGCCTCACCCCTTGTCTCACTTCTCTCTATTGATTTTCCCTAGGTGTTTGGGGTCTGTTCTGACTCGCTTGATTATGATGTGTTTGATGTGATGGTCTTGGTACATCAGGATCATACATCTCATCGATCATTTCGCTCAACTGTGTTATGCTTTCAAAGAGATCGGTGTCCATGTTGTTGAAGTTTGATCCTGTTGGTTGGAATATGTGTGAGTGGGGTGGTTGTATTGGGATGTTGAATCGTGTTGGAAACGAAGCAACGGTTCTTGTGGTGTATGAAATCCGTATGATGGTTGGGTACTTCGATGGTATAATGTTTGACTGTATGTATGTTGGGTGGTATGGTAGAAAGGAGATGTGTCATATGTGTCTTGAGTGTTATGGTAAGATGAGGATGGTGCATATTATTGGTGGTGGGTCAGGTCATGCTCTTGATATTGTGTTTGTGTGTGTGGCATGAATTAATGACGGGTTTGGTTGAATGTGGTGGTGTATGGTTGTTGGGTTTGAGTGTGTTGACATTGTGTTTGAGTTTGGTATTGTTGAGGGGTTGGTTGTTGAGTTTGGTATTGTTGAGGGATTGGTTGTTGGGATTGTTGTTGGGCGTATGTTGCAGCTCTTTAGCGTGGGTTGGTCAAATATATCTCTTGAGTCAGAAACAAATTTGTTGAAACCGATGTGTACCACCTCAAATATTGGAGAGTCAGTTTGAAGTTATCTTGCGAGATCGGCTCCCTTAGGACCAATTCACGTCGATGCCTCCATAGACGATATTGATTTTTAGCAAAGTCTCTCAAATCATTAAATCTCCATTGGTCGTCAACTCTGAATGCACAACGAAAATATTTAACGAGGAGACTGCGAAAGCAAACACCCATAGTGTCACCGTGTTTGACCATATTAAAGGTTGGTTCAATATACAAGAGACAATGGATCATGATGAGGGGAGGCCAGGTGGATATTATCGGGTCGAACTAGATAGAGATTAGTGTGATTGCGGAAAGTTTCAAGCATTTCGCATGCCTTGCTCTCATGTCATAGCGGCATGTTCTCAATGTTCGGTTGGACCCAATACAACATATATCCCCCGTTTACACAATAAAGAGCGTGTTAAGTGTGTACATCAATACCTTCTCTATATTAGCAAAGGAGGATTATTGGTCTGCTTATCAAGGGGACATTATTTGGCACAATGAACAAATGCGACGGAAGAAAAAAGGGCGCGCCCCAGTAGCACTCGTATTAGAACTGAAATGGATATGGCCAACAAAATGATAAGATTATGCAGTACATGTCGTCTTCCCGGACACAATCGATTTTTTTCCTGAATATTGGGTCTAACTCTGCAACCTAACTTTTTTATAGTAAACTTTCCGGAGTAATTAATTTGTTGTACGCAAGAAATTTCAATTTAAATTCGGGTTATCATTTCATGTTCAATTTATCATTTGATTACAACAATCTTCACATAATGACCCAAAAAATTACAACACCACTAACTCAGGACAACAACACAACAACATGATAAACAGATAAAACAACTAAACAAATCATAATATCTAAGATATAAAAACCATCAACACAATATCTTCTGGTCCAAGCATCATCATCATGACATCAGCGTTGCATCTCACCTTTTTCCGTGACCGACTTACTCCATTTTCGTTCCTCACTGTAATATGCCTTTCTATTTTTCTGATTTGTTCACCTTCAGGAATGTCTCCTTCCAACCAGCGAATCAAGTGCCTTTGAAAATACTCGAACGACTGTGTGTTCCAGAGTTTGATCTTCATCGGAGGCTTTGTCGCCAAAAAAATAACATGTGCATCTATTTTGATTAGTGAAAACCTTGGCAAGGGAGTGAAAGACATTTTCTAAGAGTTATGTGACAAATGGTGTAAAAAAATGAAGAGGATGGTGGTTGCATTTATAGAAAACTATATAACACTGTCAAGCCATAGTAGATGGCGCCTCCTCTCTGACATTACATGACTTTACAAAGGATGACAGGCCACGCAGTGTGGCGCCTCCTCTCTAAATAGCATGCATGCGTCACACAGAGTGACTACTCCTCTGTGTGGCGAATTTTTTTGTCTGAAAAGTGGTTAGTTTGGTAAATTTTTTAAAAATGTGGTTATTTGAGATTTTTTTTTTGAAAAATATGATTATTTGAAGAAAAAAAATCGAATAACTGAATATATTTCGAATTTATAAAATTAAATAATATTTAATTTAGTCAAATATAAATAAAATTTTATTGTATATATAAAAATAATTACAATTATTATTATTTATTATTATTATTATTATTATTATTATTATTATTATTATTATTATTATTATTATTAGAGAAAATGGATATATTGACAATGTAAAAAAGTTTTACATTATCAATTAATCACGATTATGAATTCAATCAAATCACAATGTTATTTTTAGAAAAATTATATGAAATGATAAAATGTTATATTTTTATTGAATATTTTTTTACATTGTCACTACGTCTCATTTAAACTCTTATTATTATTATTAATAATAAAAATTAAGATTTTCCATGTTCTCATTTAAACTCTTATTTATTGTTTCTCCGGGAGTCGATAACGACTAGTAGTTCCGCAACCACATCCTCGTCTAACTCATCATCCCACTCTACGTTCACATCGGTAGGCCAATGTATGGGCTAAGGAGAGATGATGACGGACCTACATCAGGATGTTGGATGTATGATCTTTGTTCAGAGTACTGGAATTGTGTGTGAGACACGTAAGTGTATTGGTATTGAGGTTGAGATTGGAGTTGGTGTAGGACATATGAGTGTATTGATATTGAGGTTGTGATTGGGGTTGAGTGTTTATAGGTTTGTATCGTCATAGTATTTTGTGGAAGGTTGATGTGTTTATGAATCTGTATTGTCATAGTATTTTGTCGAAGGTTGATGTGTTTATGGATCTGTATCGTCATAGTATTTGGTGGAAGGTTGATGTGTGTTGGATTTGTTGTTGGGGTTGTTGTTGGGTGGTGTATGACGCAAAAAACAGAGAAAAAATGAGAAGAGAATGTGAGAAAATGTGAAGAACATTGGAGAAATAGATGTTTTATTTATAGAAAATACAATTGCATGTAGGAGCCATCTTAGATAGCGCCTCCTCCCACAAATATAGAGTATGCGTCATCTCACATGACTTGAAGGCAATATATACGTCATGTGAAATTGCCCCTAAGGCCAAACTTCAAGTGGATGCGCCATCTCACTTGGCTCTTGCATGTTAACGTTTTCTAAAATATAGTTATTTGTGTAATTTTCTCTAAAACATGATTATTCGTGTATTTCTTTTTTAATATTTAATTATTGCAAAAAAAAAAATCAATATTTTCGAGTACTTTCGGTCTAAAGATGTTTTAAATTTTTAATGAGATTATTACAGAAATATATTCTTTGATTTGACACCCATATTTTAGAGTTCGTTTATTTTTCTTTTTTAAAGTTAAAAGTAATAATTTATGAGAATTTCTTTACACCATAAAATATATATACACAAAATAATCTAAATCATACAAAACCGAAATTCCAACATGCAAAATTAATCCTTATAAAAACGAAATTATATACAAAGGAATATCCGGGAAATAATCAAATGTGAGCATATCTTAACAGTCACGTTAAATGTTGAACTAAATCGAAGTTGTCTTTGCACCTAGAGGTACATATAAACTAAAAATGCTTGTGATTAGATCCCCAAATTTGTTATTAGTTATTATAATTAAGTCCATACTCCATACACTGAAAAGCCTTTAATTGGATCCCCAAGCTTTTATTTAATCAGTAATTAGACCATTGAATTTAGGGACTTAAATATAAATAATAAAAGTACACGGACCTACTTAAAAGTTTGGTAATTCAACTAAAATAATAATAAATATGTGATCTAATTAAACAATTTTGACAAATTCAGAGATTGACTAGAAATTTTGTCTTAATAGTCTTCATGAAGGCTAACAGATGACTTGCGCATCCCCCACACACGACTTAATTTGATCAATAGAGCTAAAAACGGTTTATTCAACACACACAAAAGAGGCTTGACACGGCAAAACTAAAATCGTACCAAAATGCTCTTAGTCAGAAAGTAACATCTTGCTGCTTTTTGAGCTGGTGGGTTGTTTTTGGACCCTCACTTCTTCATTCGAAGAAAAGATGAAGACAGAAACATGATAATTAAAAGGCTATATAGTCATACAAGTTTAACACCAAAATATGTGTCTTCCATGCTAGAGATAATATATAAATACAGACAGTCTGAAAGCAAATGCAGTTTGAGTCTCAGACATTTACCAACTGTCAAGTGAAATATGAAACTAACTTAGTTTTAACATGATCATACATCACTTAAACATATACAACCTTTGGTTCACAGCTCTATAAATATGGATGTGAGCAAACCAGCTGCCATACATAAATTATTATATTCGCGCCATCAACATCAACCATCCATTCTGCAATAAAGCCATTGTAACATGTCATGGTCATTAAAACAGTAACAAGTAAGATTGAATATAAAGTAATAAAGTTGTATACAAACCTTCACAACATTGCTTTCTTGCGTTTCCATGTGTTCAACAAAAATTGTACTCCTTCCTTCAAAGTTGCTCTCTTTCCCGTTTTATAGTTCCATAATTCAGAGGTTACATATCGCCCACTAGGATTGTATTCATTAATCTCTGTTAAAGCTGCCACCACCGCATTATATGCCTTTTCACCCACTTCTTTTCTCAGTCCATTCAGCTTTTCATCGTCTTCTTTAATAAGTTCCTGAATCAAAACATGCGTAAAACCAGATAACCAAATGCGATTGTTAGAAGTTTCACCAAATCAGAAAAAGCAGAGGATAATTGTAGATTAAAAGGAACCTGAAGCCATTGTAAGTTTGTAACCCATTCACAAATTAAACTTCCCTCTTTTGAACCGATAATCTGATATCAGTCTCAAAGGAGGGGTTATACATGGTATATCACTCATTCTCACTCTGAGGCTGGAAAACAGAGAAAAGAACAAGGTGGGTGAAAATGTAACAAGGAGAAAATGTGATTGCTTCCCAAAGAATTCATACTCCAATGTCAAAAATACAGTTATTGACCTACTCTCGGTTGTCTATTCTTTCTATCTCCTATTAATCCCCTATGACATTTCCAAACAGGGCTCAACACCAATAAGTTCCTTAGATGACAAAAAGTGACAGAATTATAGGTTCAAAAGACCAAATATTCACCGTCTTCAATCTTCATTAAGAGGTAATATAAATATATAAAAAATTAACCAAATTTGATTAAAAGTGATATGCAATAAAGCAGGTAGGCTTCGGGATAATTTTATGAGAACCATGTTTAACAGAAACATACTCTTTCTTTCCCATCAATCATGTAAACTTTGAATGGATGCCAATCTGGGTCTTTTAGATACTCTTCCCACAATGAACATAGTTCTGTAGCTTTGTCTTCAGCTTCCTCCTCATTGTATCTTTGCTTCATAGCTTCAAGGAATGGTTCAGTGTCAAGTTCCCCCATTCTCTTTACACCAATTTGGGCTCGAGTTGCTATCTCTTTAATAGCCTACAAGATACAAAAAACATTATTACTAAATCTTTCAAGCAATATTGAACAGTAAAATGTATAAGAAAGCTTTAAAAATTGCAAGAGTTTATGAAACATTAAGTCCATTATAAAAGTAAAGTAACAAATAAGCAGTGAATATTGGCACAATGACAACTTGGTCTCGTCTGCATAATCATATCATCGACCATTCAAAGCATTTTGACCAATATGAGTCAGTAAGATGATACGATGAGATTATAATTTTACTCTAGTCACTTTTGTTACCTTGGTCTAGACTATAAATGTTAATAACAGAGTTGACCAAATAGAAAAGACACGCACATATATACCACGTCTGTGTTTCATAGAACACTTTATGCATGAAAATAAAATCATTAAAAAAGGCCAATTAGCCGAATAGCTTAAGTATGAAAGAACTGGAAACCTGGCTCCCTTTGCACAGATGATCTTCTAATTAATCTAATGAATCAATTAACTGGAAAAAAGTACTCTTACATTAATCAATTCTTTCCGAGCTTCCTGCAGCTCATCGTTACTCTTACGCTCCTTAATGATGAGTGTTTGGTTCAATGCATCAACGTCTTCAAGTGTCTGTTCCTTCTCCCTTAAACCCTTTTGCAAATCATCTACCTTCTTCAAAACTTCTCCATCGTCATCGTCTTCTATGTGCTTCAACACACTTAGAGATCCTCTAAGTTGCTGAATCTCCAATTCCAACTTTTGTTTCATATCCAGTTGTTTTTCAAGCTGAATGATTTTAGCATGGAGTTCTTCTTTTTGTTTCTGTATAATAGACAATCAAATAGCATAAATACTATGTTAATCTGAACCTGACAAGCACACATTTGATCATTAACAAAACTAATAGAAAGGCAGTACAGACCTTTTGATCTTCAGCCAGTTTCAAAACATTTTGATCCGCTTTCAGTTGCTCTATTGAAGCCATCTGAAGAGAGCTATTTTTCGTTGTATTCTGCATAGACAATAAATGCTAGCAAGTTAAACAAAGCCTTCTACAAGCTTCTGAAGCAAAATATTATTTAAATGACTTCACAGACACAGTAAAAACATATTATATCAAAATTCTAGCTTATAATCTCCTTTATATCCTTATGCTATTTTAAACATCCAACAGTAAGTGGAATGAGAAGAAGAATGAAGTGAAATGGAATAAAATAGCCATCTCATATTTTTTTGAATATTTTTAACAAGGAAAGGAGAAAAGGATTTGTTTCTCCCATACCTCCAAATTGGAGGGAGGAAAAGAATTTTACTGGATGGGACAGAGTAAATGCATTTTATAAAATTCTACTGGATTGCTTCCTATTTAAACAATCTAAACAATATAACCTAGGATATTTCCATTTTCCATTTCACACGTAGTCTTAATGGCGGTTAAAATAGTAAAGGAAAAACAGAAAAGCCCTGGTGTGAAATCATTGGCATATGATTGTATTGGCAACTAATAATCTCTCCCTGTTCCCTGAATTTCATATCATTAAAAGCATAGAAAGTTCACCATTTTAATTAGAGTCAACAATTACTGTTAAATATTGGTACTATCTTCTCCCACATCACCTGGGACTTAAGTAACACGGGAAGGGATCAGGACCAAGATTAAGATCAGAGACACAGTCAGTCAAAGTGCACAAATAGTCTATACACAGATTATAAGGTTTCATTGAGAATTCAATCATGAGATACTTTCCCTTTTAAAGTAAATACACCAGCTATCCATACACTAACTTGTTCTGGATTCACAACCTTCAATAACCTATTACTCGAACAAAAAATCTGTTTTATTATTGGCAGTATTTTCAGAATTAATTATCAGATTCAACTGAAAATAATTTCCCAACCAATCATTCCATGATCATTAAACATGATAAGCAAAGTGGATACTGATTATTAACCTTGGTTGATAAATCCTTCAGTGAAAGCACAAACACATCTAAGTATCAATCATGTTCACAATAATTTGTCAAAAAACCATATGAATAGTAAGCAATACCTTAAAAAAGAATTGCTTTATCAATATATATTTTTCCGGAATCTCAATAGTAGGGAATGGGCAAAATAAAAACACTATACCTCCTCAATCTCTTCTGCCAACTTCTTTCTTTCAATCTCATTATGTGCTTCACGTTTTTCCAATGCAATTCTCCGCGCCTCAAGCTCATTTTTTTGAGATTCCAGTTGCGATTTAAGCTTTTCGTGATCATTAAAAATCCTTTGGAAGTGATCCTTAGCACTTGACTGTATTTTCTTCATCTCTAAAAACAAAGATCACAAAATTTAAAATTATAAATCAATTATTAAAATTGTAAAATAAAATTCAAGCATAATATTTGTCCGAAATCAGTTAAACGATGCCATATTTTTTGGTACAATCATTGCAACGGTTCTAGCAATATTTCCCTTTGGTCGAGAAACCACCACATTGGCAGTTGTATGTGTAACCAAAGCACCGGTTGCAAATCAGAAACACAAAAAACTAAACACCCACAACCACAACACATACAGATACCTATTAGTGAAAAGTAACTCAGGCTCAATAAATATAGATACCTTCATTATAAGATTGAATGAGTAAATCTTTTTCTGCCATGGCAACATTCATTTTATCAGTAGTCTCGGTGCATCTTGCTTCAATCTCACTTAAGGTGTGTTTTTTTACTTGAATAATGTCGGTCAAATTGGACACCAGTCTATCTTGCCTTCTAGCTTCTTCTTCCATGAGTTCCGGTATGGTTTTGACATCAGCCATCTTTCGCAGATGTTCACCAATGATATTGTTCACATTGTAGTCATTTGCTCGGGCAACCCATCCATAAAGACCCGTCTTCTGCTGCCCGGTATTACAAAACCAATCCTTTTTCCCATGATGTTCTAAAGCATACGCTTTTTCAAATGCAAGTGCATTATCTAACCCAGGCCAGTTTTTATTGAATTCCACAAGAGCAGTTCCAGAGTGACCTTTGTAATTCCATAAAGGATTAACTCGTACCGGATTGAAACCCCTACTTCTATACTCATCTCTAATCTTAGAACCACTCGCCCCAACAGTGCGCCCGTCTTTTGTTTTGCTAGTTGGAATATTAACTATTATTCCCATCCATGGCCACACAAACTGCTCATCAGAATCAATAGGAGCATCACTTTTATCATCCTCAACCGGTTCCGTTGGAGCATCTACATTCATAAGATCATTTTCCAAATACTTCACTAAAGCCAAATGAGTAGCTTTTTCTCTTGGCTTTCTCTTTTGTGAACTACTCTGACCCACACCAGAAGCATGTTGCAGAAGCTCCTTATACAAATAATCTCGTTTTCTTTTCTTCGGACAGTATGGACAAGTAAACTTCTCGTCCGAGGTCTTCACATTCTGACTTCCATTTTTCAGTTCTTCATAACATTTATCTTCGTACTCGCTTATTTCAGAATCGCTTATATCAGTATCCTCCTCAGAACTGTGAGACATTATTGCACCTGAAATGAAACAGAAAAACACAAACCCTAAAGCTGAGTCACGCACATTCTACCCTAATCATCCAGTAATAAACTGAAAAATAACTCATCAAACCAAAAAACAAACAAACAAGAAGGGAAAAATGGTTATGATTATGCAGAAATGATTTTTGACGAATTTACCGGAAAATGCGGAGATTTTCACCGGAAGAAAAATCGGAAGCTCGAAGAAGGATCTTGAACAAGCGAATGCGAGCTAATGCTCTACTACGAGAGATGAATCATAAGAACTCAATGATGAAGTTCTGATTTTAGGGATTTGACAATGGAATCTCTATACTATAGTACTAATGAATGCGACACTGCTTTTACACAATCGAAGCTACAGTAGGGGACTGTTAGTGTGCGGTGCGGTCTTCCTTATCTTCGTGGTCTTCACTTTGATGATACATTTACCATCGCATTGATGCCACGTGGCGTGTGGAAAATTCGGTGTTGATTTTTGGTGGTTTCTGATTGGAGAATGGAAAGTCGAACCAATGATGAGAGTGCGTGATAGTGACACGTGGCTACAAAATGCCATGGGACCCGACACTTGGTATTACCTTTTTCGATTGTGCTGACAACTAAATGAACGTTATTTTAACGTTTTATGATACAGTATAAAACTCTTAAATTAGCAAAAATCCTTTTCTATAGTTTAATTAAACAAAAGATATATTTCTACAAAGTATTACATACAGTATTATTAAACTAAGAAATATTAATAATAATAATAATTAATATAAGAATCACTTTCCATTTTTTTAATATAGCATTCTTTATAAACTTTCAAATAAATTGATATTTTTTTTAATAGTATTTATATTAAATTTATAATTGATTTTGAATATGGATGCACTACTAATTATTAAATAATGATATTTTTTAATTTATGTTTTGTAAGATTGAATCTGTTCACTGAAGACTAAAAAACATGTGGATAATTAGTAAGGGAAATTTATGTAAAAGTTGTGACACCATGTTGAAGTTGTAATTAGATTCAATTAGAGTATTATTTCAAAAATTATTGACAACAATGAGCATTGGTATAACACTTCATTTTACTTTAGATTGCACGATTTTATTTCAAGACAGTGTATACAACACATTTGAAAGGAGATGGAAAGGGTAAAATTCGTTGGTTTTGATAAAACTGCATGTGGTTGTTTCATTATAACAACACATGGGTTACCTCGTGCGTGTGAACTTGCAGGTATTCAAATACAAGGTGACCATATTCCATTAGAATTAATTCATGTGTTTTGGAAGAAATTATTCATTAAAGAGTATGAGATCACTGAAGAAGAGAATGGGACACAACTGGATTTAGAAGAAGAGCGTGAAGAGTTCAAGAGGTATTTCACTACACTGGATATTGTAGGTCAAAGGGTGATGAAGAATTTTTTTTGAAAACTAACACATCAATCCACGTCTTCCATGTGTCTGCCACCAATGAAATTCAAGCCAAATGAGGCAAATAAGAAGAGTAAAAGGGTGAATAAAGTGATGTGTGTCATGATCCTACGCAGTGGGAGTATGTTGAGGGTTCACAGGGAAGTCAGACTACAAAGAGATCATTTACAAAACCAGTTGAAAGTTAACCAGTTGGCCAGTTTTCAAGACTTATTGATTTGTCTCAATTTCTTGATTTCTTATATCAGTACATTGATGACATTGTTGAGGTGGGTAAATATGTTAATTGTGGTTTCGGTGCTATTGCAGGTTTACTTGGACGGGGCAAAGAGTCTTGGCCATTGGTTCGGACGCAGTTAGATACTGAAGTTTATCAACACTATCAAATGTATTCTAATGTGTTTTATGACACGATACCGGAAGTTAGGAGTATGTTGTATGTAACTAGCTTGGATGTGTGGGATCGTGAGAAATGGATGATGATTCCTTATATGGGTTACCCTATTACTTATAGATACAATATCATATCAGTATCATTATCCAAGAAGTTTAATATCACATTCTTCCCATTAGTCACCGCTATATGCATAACTTCGAATAGACACAAAATTATTGTAGTTGATTTTATTGACAACAGTCATTGAGTTCAGGTGAAGTTGAAACCCAATTGTCTTTTGTCTCCCGTCACAGACCGATGGAAACAAAATTATAATGAAAGTGCAAGAACATGGAAATCAACATATACAAGACGTATTAGGCACTAGGAAGAAGAAGATATGAAGCCAACATAATTTATTTTTTATTTATATATATATATATATATATATATATATATATATATATATATATATATATATATATATATATATATATATATATATATATATATATATATATATATATATATATATATATATATATATATATATATATATATATATATATATATATTATCGGATATAGTTTATCAAAAATGTCAACAAGTTTTATTTTTTTCTTCTAAATATCTACTGCCTACTAGATTTTTCAAAATTTTTGAAATTTTGGTTTGTACCGAATTTTTCAAAATATCCGGTGGGTCTTATAATTAATCTAATTTTTCAGAAAATCTGATACAACTGCATCAAAATTTTTAAATATTTGGTATATGTGCACTGAATTTTCCAAATATTCGGCATTTCTTCAACAATTTTCCAAAATCCTATAAATATTTATTGGCAATTTCTGAAATGTTTGTTAATTCTTCATACTTTTGCTAAAATAAATCGATATTTCTTCATCCCAACAAAAAAATTGGCAAAAAAATCTGATACCTGAACGAAAAATCTTGTAATTGCGCATACTTTTGAAAATCCAAAAAAATTTAATAAGAACGTAAGTGCAATTGTATGCCTTGTGTGAGTGTGTCAGGTCAAGACGCAATTAGAAGGTTAAAATCTATTAAAAAAAATATAAACTCTATTAATTATGGGCAAAAACCCATTAAGGAGATTGATATGAAATAAAAATGTTTTTTTTGTTGTCAATAAAAAGAAAACTTAACAACTATCATAATGAATGGAAATTTCTTATTACACCATTATAGGTGAAAAAAGTTTATGAAAACCCAAAATTGCCCCTCTATTTTCAGAAGTATATTTTTAGACGCACCATTCATACCATACAAATGCGACAAATTGTGGTGTCACCCTATAGTGAAATTAATAAAAGTTCTGGAGATATATCTCCAAAATTATAATATAATTAATGAAGGTGCGAGAAACACAAGAAATGAGGGGTTTGAATTAGGTTGCACAAAATATAATCTTTTTGCAACTCAAAACACAAAGATAACAAGTGAATAAAAATAGATTAACACAATTATTTTTTATCACGGTTCACTGTTAATTAAGTTACTTCAGTCCACACTGCAAGGTGATTTTCCTTATACACGAGGACTTAATTCACTATAATCAACCAGATTACACACAACCATAATAAGTCTAATAAACCCTATTGGAACCCTCAATAAGTCTATTGATCCTTATTGCAAACCACTATAACCGCAGCCAGAGTCTTCTTGAGTCTTCATACCTTCACTCAGTCACTCAAGAAATCTATCAAAAATAGTTTATTACAAAGATGTGTATACATAGATGCTTCTACATAAGTAGATTACACAATGTTTAAGTACAATAACACAAAAGTATTGATAGCAAGATATGAGCAATAACTCCTTGCTTATTTACAAAACTATACAAAAAGAGATTTCTCTATAGAGTTTTTGTGCAGCGGTTTAGTATAGGTTTGTTGAACTGATTCATTGACTTCAAATTCTTCCAAGTACTTATTTTATAGCTGAAAAGAAGAGATCTGTTGGAGGGTAGAATAGGAAATAGAAATACAATTGTATTGTTCCCAGCGGTCATGGTGAGACTGGTAGACAATAGTACAAAAAGGCTTGTCCTTCCGCCACTCTAGAGAGTAGATGTCACAATGTACTTTTGTGCTTTTATACTCACCATCACACATAATCCCTTTAGTATTGATCTTCGTTTTCTAAGTCTTCAGAGGCTTCTGATATAATTGTTGATGAAGCATGTTGCAAAAGGACTAGAACTAATATCTTCTAGGACATAAGTCATTAGAATCTTTCAGGGCTTGTTTAAAGAACCCTTGATTTAGTTAGTTCTTTAGCACTTGACCGTCAAAAGAATGTCTTTAGATCTTCAGAACTTCGTTATGCAAAACCTTTGTTTCCAATATCTCCAGAACTTGGAACAACATAAGTAGAGCTTTAGAAGGCCTCCAAAGCTTCCTTGAATAAGTCACGGTCAGAAGCTTTTTTACTAAAGTTTCTTAGAACTGTTGCATAAGACACATTCCTTTATCTTGACTTAACTTGTAAAAAACCAAAGGTATTCTTCTATAGTGTTGAGTTCAGAACCTAATGATGTTGCACGTCTTCTTACCAGAGTCAGAACCTACATGACAAAAAGCCACACACTAGACAGAAATATGTTTGAGTATACAATTGTTCTTAAAGATAACATGTAAAGTTATAATCAAAACATAAGGTCAGATGTAGAACAAACTTTGTTCTCATAATCTCCCCCTTTTTGATGATGACAAAACCATGTATTTTGATAGAACAATTCATAAAGGGTAATCATCATGGACGCAAATTCAATAGAGCTAGCAGGCTCTCCCTAAATCTGTTAATACTAAAAATTCCATTAAAGCTTGTTTAGACTCTCCCCTTTAGCCCAAGACTCACATAATGAATTTTGTAGAATACAAAGTAACATAGAGAAGGAATATTTCTCCATTGACGGCTCATCATCGTCTGACTAGAAATACCCGATCTTCATCTCAGAACCTGGATTGCTATCATAACACTAATGACTTGCATCAAACATCAGAACTAATATGTCGTTCTTATAGAAACTAGAATTATGCCACCAGAAGGCGCACAACATCGTGTCATCAGAGAGTTCAACACCTGAACTATTTCTTGACTGACCATGTCTTTAGAACATGTCTTTTATACCATGTCTTTAGAACATGTCTTCTGAAAAT